ACAGGACAGAGCAGAGTTTAGGGCTGTTGTACGTAGGGTCGCTATGAGTCGCAGGCGACTCGACGGCACATAACAACAACAAACAACAACAGTTTTCTGTTATTGTCATGTGTCATCAAGTTGCCTGCAACTGATAGCAACCTTGTGTACAATTGTTCTGAACTCTGGCTAATCTTGAGCCAGTCTCACTGACTGACACACTTAATCCCATCGCTTCAGTTACTTGGTCAATCCATCTCATCCTGGGTCTTCCTCTCCTGCGTTGTTCCTCCTCCCTTCCAAGCATGATGTCCTTCTCCAAGAACTGATTTCTCCTGGCCACATGCCCAAAGTGTGTGAGATTTCAAAATCCTTGCCTCCAAGGAGAAACTTGGTTTCACTCTCTCCAAGACAGACCTATTTGTTCTCTTGGCTGTACATGGTATTTTCAGTTGTCTTCTCCAGTACTACAGCTCAAGGGCATCGATTCTTATGCATCTTTAGTCATTTTCCAACTCTCTGATGCATAGCATATAACTGATTTCCTGACTACTATGCCAAGAGTATAGATTTTGGAGCCGAGCAACCTGAAATTGTTAACAACCTCAGTTCTTCTCCATCAGTCATAGTGCTGCCAATTGGCCCAGTGGTGAGTCTTTGTCTTTTTAATGTTGAGCTTCAATCCGAATTGAAGACTACTGTCCTTGACCTTCTACAGCAAGTACCTCAGGTCCTGCTCAGTTATTTAGATTCTTTTAAAAAGATAGAATTTAAATATGCTGAAACCCATAAATCTTATAGTGTAATCTTCCTCTTCCACATTTTACATTTGCCCTAGAAATTTTTTCTCAAAGCCCTCCGCTTATCCCAAAGCAGCCACTTTTTTATATCTCTTATCGTGGATTAATTTTGCTTCAACATCTTTTACAATTTTTTAGAAAATAAGCTTATCACCCAATATCTCCATCCAAATTTTATTGTGTACAATATGTTACTCTGGACAATCTCTTTGCCCTAAAAAGCCTTTCTTTATTTATTTCTAAAACACAAGAGAAATAGAAGGATCCTTTGTCTTAGTTATCTAGCACTGTTGTTGTGATGGTTGTGTACCATATTGTCAGAGCTGACCCATAGCTGACCCTCTGGTGGGTTTCCAGAGGCAGTTAATTGTAGGGGAGGAGATTTCCTTCTCCCTGGGAGCGG